GAGGGCAGTGTCACTGGCCCTCATATGTGGGATCCGAACTGGGGCCCTCTGGCATCCCAAGCCAGTTCTTAACCATCGCGCCACTTGGCAGGCCCCCACATTCAGTCTTAATTCCTGTCTGCTTTACCTTGAAAATGCATTGAGAATGTGACCACTTTTTATCACTACGAAAGCTACAGTACCAGCCAATTATAGTGGTTACAATATTTCCTTACTGGTCTCTCAGCTTCTACCCTTCTACCCTTGTCTTTACATAGCCTGTCTTCCATAGGCAACCAAAATAACCTTTAAAAAATAAGTCAATAAATGCATTGTTGTGTACTGGATTGTAACTTGGAGGAAGAAAAGGAAATTAGTGGGAAAATTGGTGAAATCTGAATAAAGTCTGCAGTTTAGTTAATAATTACCTGTGTTAATGTCTTAGTTTTGACAAATGTAACATGGATCTGTAAGAAGTTACTCAACCTAGCTTCCTTTAGTGTCGTATGGTAACTCTCCGTACTATTTTTGCAACTTTCCTATAACTCGAAAATTATTCCAGAATGAAAGGTTGGTTTAAAAAAATGAAAATAAGCGGAAAAAGCAAATGTAAATTAAAAGAAAATCAAAGCAAAAAGATGGTTCTTTGAAAAGATTAATACAATTTATAAACTCTTTAAAAAATGTTCAATCGTGCTACTCTTGCTTAAAATCCTGTTTACTATTAGTAAAATTCAAAGTCCTAAGTGTGGCGTTAAGGCTTTGTACATTCTGACCCATTACCTCTCTGATCTGGCTTCCTACCCCTTTTCTCCTTTCTTTTGGTTGATCGGTAGGTTTGCTCCCAACTGGGACCCTTGTGCTTATTTCCCCTACTTTTAATGTTCTTCCCCCAGATAACTTGCATGGCTTACCTTTTCAGTTCATTAAGGTTTGTGCTCAAATGTCTCATCAGAGAGCTAGCTCTTCACTGATCATCTTATTTAAAATAGTGACGCTTTAACTTATTTACCCCCCTATTTTTTATAGCTTTATTGAAATATAATTTATATACCATAAAATTTATCCATTGGAAGTGTACAATTTAGTGATTCTTTTAGTAAATACATAGAGTTGTATTATCACCACAATTCAGTTTTAGAGCCTTTTCATTACTCAAAAGTTTCCATGTGCCATTATGCAGTTATTCCCCATTCCCAGCCCCAGCCCCAGCCCCAGACAACTACTGACCTGGTTCCTGTCTCGATAGATTTCCCTTTAATATTGCATGTAAATGGAATCATACCCTATGTAATCTTTTATATCTGATTTCTTTTGCATACCATACTAATTTTAAGTTCTGTCCATGTTGTAGTATTTAAGTTGTAGGATGTATCCATAGTTTGTCCCTATTTTTTTATTGCTGAATAGTTTGATTGTATGGATATACCACTTTTTGTTTATCTAATCACCAAATAATGAAATTTGGACTATTCACGGTTTTGGGCTTTTACAAGTAATGCTGCTGTAAACATTCATGTGTAAATCTTTATGTGGGTATGCGTTTTAATTTCTCGTAGGTAGGTGGTAGAGATCAGGAAGTTACAGAGGTTTTAATTCCTCTTCGCCTTAGTTTTCTAGCGATAAGATGTTAATTTATTTTAATAAGATGAAGTTAGGGTTGCAGTAGGGGTTTTGAGAGAAGGACTTTGAGAGAAGTTTGGCTTCATATTCTAAGAACAGATCAAAGGAATGTTAAGTGGCATGCAGGTTCCTGCTAAAATTGGAGACAGCTGAATCTGTATGGTTGTGAGATTTTCTTTAGAAACACTCAGCTGCATGGAAGAAGAAGCAAAGAGAAGTCTCTGAGCTCAAAGAACAGGTTTTGTCAGAATGAGGGTATGAAAGCTGGAAGAAAGGAGATTGTGATCAGACAGAGTATGTATGATATTGTAGGTAAGATTCTGATAGGGTATAGTGTTGGGGTTGAAGATGCTGTGAATTTTCCACATGGACATTTATGTAACTGAGGGTTATTATAGGATATAGGGGAGAAACTCAAATAAATATCCAGAGAAAAATATGGCATGTGGTGGGGGAAATTGCCTTCGTCAGTGGCAAGGCAGAACTGATAGGAAATTAATTGATAATTGGCACATAAAAAATGATGGAGAATAGTGTAGGACAATAATATGAGCCTCAAAACTGGAAGGATTTTGCATGAAGGTGGAGGAGTAAAAATAAGCAGAAATATAAATAAGCTAAAATGGGGAGCTAGATAACAGACCTTCAAGCCCTGAGGACCGCAGGGTAACTGGATGTTTGAGAGAAGGAGGTGGTTTCATTTAAGCATGAAGGTAAAGGGAACATGCAGTTTACACTTAAACATGCAGTTTAACACTTGGGTGTTAAAGGGAACACCCAAGCCTCAAGGGTGGAAAAATTTAAATTTTTAAGGGATGGTACAGTACTGAGTTTCAGTCCAGTCTAACAGTACTTGGCATGTAAGTTTGGCATAAATGTTTGATGAATTAATTCATTATATAAGAATGTTTTTTAATAAATTATACACTTTAAAATGATGCAGCAGTGGAGGAGTATTTTAAATCATTCTCATCGGATAAATGATTTTATAATACATTTGTACATGTATACTATTAAGTCATGGTAAAATCAACTGTGGTTGAATAATTCAGAGGGATTGTCCTCAAGGAAGTTTTTTCATCAAAACTTTAAAAAATGAAGGTTACTGTATAGATGCAGATGATGCTTAAAAGTTGACTTCTGTGTGTTGCCCAGTGTTGGTCAGTGTTATTAATATGTGATGACCCTCTGAAAAACTTGGTTGTTTTTTTGTTTGTTTGTTTTTTTAAGATTTTTATTGGGTGATGGGAACAGCGCTGAGGAATTGGGGGAAGGGGAACAGACAAGTTGCTGTCGTTTTGTTCTTCAGTCTAGTTGTGGAGGACGTTGCTTCACTGGCCCAAGTTGGCACCATCATTGCGCTCTTCCCTGGCGAGGCAGATCAGTCGCCGGCTTCTGGACGGCCGCTCACTGCAACTGCTGGCCGCTCACGCTGGCTACAAACGGTAGCCCATGGCAACCCACTGCAGCAGAGGCTGCAGCCTATGCCGTTGCCAGTGACTCATGGCAGCCCAGCTCCAGGTTGAGCTGTTGTTCAGCATCTTAGCTGTAGAGGGCAGTGTCACTGGCCCTCATATGTGGGATCCGAGCCGGGGTCCTCTGGCGTCCCAGGCCAGCTCTTAATCACCGTGCCACTTGCCCGGCCCAAGAACTTGGTTTTTGATAGCAGATTTTTGCAGGAGGGAGAGAAGGGTTGATGTTTTTAATGTGGAAATTATTCCCTCATAAATGAGAATAAAAAAGATAACTCCAATTTTTTTTAATGATTTAGAAATTTAATTTATTGCTGTTATTTCTGATTCTAATATGAAATTAATGGCATTTGCTTATGAATAATTGTGTCAGGCAAAGTGAAAATGAACCAGGTCTGCTTTTTACTATTTTGAACTAAATAATTGAAAAACTGTCTTATTTCTTTGCTTTTTCATCACAAAAGAGTAAAGGATATCTGTTCTTAGGCATATTGAAAATGTCTAGTTTCTGACTTCATGTCTGAAATTCACCCTTTAAATTTCACGTACTTATGTTTATTTTACTTTTTATTTTAAAGAACCAGCACCGAGCAGTAGACCAAGTAATTAAAGCCGCAAGAAAAATCTGTAGTGCTTTAGATGGTGTAGAGACTGTTGCCATTACAGAATCGGTAAAGAAGCTCAAGAGAGCAGTTAACCTCCCAAGGAGTAAAAGTGCTGATGTGAGTATTTTGTTTTGTTTTTTTTTTTTAGTAACTAGCATTTTATTACATGCAAACGTGCTTAAGTGAGCATCTATCACTTAGCGTGGGAGATTTTTGCTTCTGCTGGACAAAATGTTATCATTTTAACTTTGGTTTTTACTTTGAACTGATTGGGTAAGGTGAGGAATTCCTAAGAGGAAATGGGCTTTGGGAGAGCTTTGTGAGAGTTGACATTGCATAGGTGGATGCCAAACTGAACCTTTTGTGCGTGGAGGAGGAACTCTGACATAAATGAGTTGGTTGGGGATTTTAAGGTAGATACTGAGCTTGAAGGACCTGGATGGTAATAGGTACCATTTCTCCCTCTGGGTAGAAATGTCTGTGTCTGCTAACAGGGGAAGTTCTGTTTTGGACCATACCCCCTCCTTGTTGAAAAGACCCAAAAGCTTCAGTAATAGTGACTTACTGCCTCAGCAACAACCAGATTCAGAGCCCTGTTTTGATAACATACTGTTGCTTTTAGTAAAAGCTCTCCCTGTCGTATTTCCATGGGGATTTAATTGACTGTGTTCATAGGGATGTTCATAGCTCTGACTGGAAGGATGAGAAAAGGTAGATCACAAGCCATGATAAAGTTAAAGTTGTGTTGATGGTATGCCTCTCAGCAGATATCTAGGTGATAGCTCAATCTGTTTATTCTCACAGAGAGCCTATCCCTATGGTATATAGAAATTGGGGTTTCTTTTTTCTTATGATGCACTTGTTTTTCAAAATTAAAAAATATATATATGAAATCACTTGGAGGTAACCAACTACCATGGTCCTAATGTGTCTAATATTCTATTCATGATATTCCCTTGCTGAATAAAGGAGGAGAGCTCAATTTAAATATTTACAAGAGCTTTTTTGAGCCACTAAACGGTAATAGAGTTCTAGTTTCTTTAAGAATATGCTTGTTATGCTAATAGAGCAACTAATGGAAAATAAAATACTGTATTAGTGTACTTATCATTTTTGGGTTTCAAATCTTAAATTGGTTTAATGAGGTAGATTTTGTTGAGTTTGTATATTTTTCAATAATTTTCAGTTACTCCATGATTTTCTTGAATCTAAAAATCATCTATTTGATTGGGGGTTTTTACTTTCTTTTTTGTTGTTTTATTCTGCAGACACTTTTGGGAGATTTTCCCTGCAAGGGGGTTTGTTGATACTGCATTTATAATTAAATGTGTTGAAATGCAGATTACATCATCGGCAGTTTTCTGACTAATTTGTATGTGTGTGTGCAGGTGACTTTACTCTCTGGAAAAGAAGACAATAACAAGAGTTCATCCAGGGGTATGTCTTTTTAAATTCTTTAAATTTTAACAGCAATTGTTGCTTTTTCAAAGAATTATACTAACAATTTCTTTAAATCTAGGCTCACTGAATCCTGAAAATCCTGTTCAAGTAAGCCTGGACCAGTTAACTGCAGCAATTTATGATCTTCTCAGACTCCATGGAAATTCTGGTAGGAGTCCTGCAGACTGTACCCAAAGTAACAGGAACATCAAGGAAGCGTGGACTACCATGGAACAGCTCCAGTTTACCGTTTTTGCTGCACATGGAATTTCAAGTAACTGGGTATCAAAGTAAGTAACTGTTTAAAAGAAAATATGTTCAGCTTTACCTAGAAGTTGTTCTCATCTTGTAAAATGTCAGCATCCACTGTTACTTTGGTATTAAATGGATAATACAAAAATCAGCAACTACCTAGTGGTTTTCATAAAAATTACAGAAATGTTTGAAGCTTTTCCAGTAAAAAATATCACTCCCACTACATGTCAAAAAGGCAGGAAAATGTATGTTTAAACTTACAAGGGCAAATGTTGATTAATAAATTAGTCAGTTTATGACTGCTACTACTTGCCTTTCCTTTAGAACCAGGGTAATTTGGGACAGAGTGTAATGGCACTAGACTTGAACACATTTTTTTTTCTTTTTTAGTAGTTTACAATTGAGGCTTTGAAGTCTACAAGAGCGTATTTCTTCTATTGTGTTTTTAATATGGTTGTTTTTGTTTGTTTGTTTTGTCAATACCATAAAGTTTGCCAACTTCAACTTATTTGGAAATGACTAATAAAAACTGAAAAGTCTGAATTGGATATTTTAAATGAAGTAATTTCATAATAGTTGAATGATGTAAAATAAGGTAAACCCTAGTGAAGACATACCAAGTTCTGCTTAAAATTGAGCTTTAGATAAAATAGGTAAATAAGATATAAAAATAATATAATGAATGTGATATAGTCATTCATTCAATAAATATGTACTGAGCACCATCTGTGAGCAGTATTCTTAGAGTTACTAGGGATGCAGCAGCAAACAAGGCAGCAAAACCTCTCTGCCCTCCTGGAAGTTGCATTTAAACGGGTACTACTGTCTGAAAGTATTTCTTCCTTTTAAATATTGGGTTGTCGGGAAAGTCATGACGTGTTTTTTCTATGTTTTTTTGTTGTAAAAATGCGTCATGACTTTTCCAACAACCCAATAGTTATAGGGATAATACTGTCCATGTCCTCTATACACACACAAATAAATTTAGGGACTTAATGAGGAGAACAAATACTTAGTAGAAGACAGTACAGAAAGCTGCAGTAATAATTAAGATAGAAAGTTAATAAAATACTGAAGTTAAAGAGGGACAGATGGAATGAGGTTGAGAACAGCCATGAAATAGCTAGGGGTGTACTGTGAACCAGTGAGATTCGATTTGAAATAGATTTAGAATGATTAATGAACAAAGTGGTTTACGTGTAAGTCTGGCAGGAAGTTAGAATACTAATAGAATACAGTTTTATTGAACCTAAGACTCCTTCCCTACAAGATTGCCTGATTATATCTAACCCGCTCTGTACTTGTGGCAATTGAGCTAAATTATTGCTGTCTAATGAGAGAATATACCAGCATCTGTCACCATGGATAGAAGGCTCCTAATGGATTGGGAAGACTGGACTCAGTGTAAGTCAGATCAATGAACTATTAATATGCTTAACTGACTTGATTTCAGTGGCTTAGCAAAAGGAAATGGTGCGATAATGTTTGTACTCTTTCTTCTTAGAATTTACCTAGAAATGAATAATTACTCAGTGTCATTCAACTAAAATGTAAAGCTAGTAACTAACTCAACACAAAATTCAGATAAATTCTCCAGCTGGCATCATTTTGCCCCCTTAGACTGGCAGCTAGGGATACGTGTTCCTTTCTGCACTCCTTTTACTATACCTCTGTTTTTACAGAATTTGCAATAATTAGTTAAATTTCAGGTGTTTTTCCATAAGTTCAAATGAACGGTGACCAAATTTATTTCAGACAATAGTCACTTTCAGGGGAAGAATGGCTAATATGTATTTATATTAGTTAACTAATTTGTATTATCAAATAAAAATGAAATTAAATTCTTTTTTTTCTCAGTTACGAAAAATACTACTTGATATGTTCTCTGTCTCACAATGGAAAGGATCTTTTTAAACCTATTCAATCAAAGAAGGTTGGCACTTACAAGAATTTCTTCTATCTTATTAAATGGGATGAACTGTAAGTGAAATTGCTGGCTTTTTTTCCCTTCATTATGCCCCATTCTTTACTTTTTTTTCCATACATGCATGCTAGTTTTTATTTTATTACAATTTCCATAAAAATCCCTTAAATTCTTACTGACATCTTTAAGGTCTCTTCTGGATATGATTCTATAGAACAGACTGAAATTCTCATTTAGAAATCTGAAATATTATTTTAAATCTATATGTTAAATTGCAGAAACAAGCCATTCTTTCTAGACGTTGTCAAGTTAAAAAAGACAAATTTACATATAATTCTAGAAAATGGTATTTTATAACATTGCTTATTTTAGTATTTTTCCTGTAACACTGTATATATGAAGCCTAGTTTTTTGGTTAACAGGTTTTAAAATTAAATTAAGTCCATGTAAAAGATGATATTTTGCACTGTTAATATTTTTATTTTATTTTTATTTTATTTTATTATTTTTTAAAGATTTTATTGGGAAATCGGGGAAGGGGAACAGCCAAGTTGTCCTTCAATGTGTTAATATTTTTTAAATATTGTTTTTAAACTAAGGGAATGCTTTCATCATTCACATAGACAGTTGCAGAACTTTTTATTTTTTATTCTGTATTTATTAAACGACTTCCTATTTTTTATCTTTTCATCATGAAAATAACACATGTCTGTGAAAGCAATCAAATAATAAAAAATGCATATACGGTAAAAGTGTCACTTTAGGAGTGACAGGTTAGCTCAGTCAGTTAGAGAGAGCATGGTGCTGCCAAGACCAAGGTTGCCGGGTTGGATCCCTGCATGGGCCACTGTGAGCTGTGCCCTCCTTAAAAGAGTCAACTATGCCATGTAACATGAAAGCAACGTGTAACCAATGACCATGGCTGTTCCCCAATAAAGTTTAAAAATTAAAAAAAAAAAAAAAGGTGTCATTTTATTTGCAACACTTACCATCTCAGAGTGACCACTATTGACTTCATGTGTCCTTTCAGGCTTTAAAAAAAAGTACTGGTAAACATCTATATATGTCTGTGTGTATGTGTGTGCGCGCATACACACACACACACACACACACACACACACACACACACAGAGCTCGAATCAGAAATACTCATAAACATTCATCTAGTTTTTCCTAAAGGAAATAAAAATGACTATTATTTTGCCTAGAAATTGACATTGGAAATCTTAAGTAAAGGCGCTAACAACTTTTTGAAGAAATAAAGGATATATATTTGAAATTTTAATGAAATGTGTTTATAAAATTTTTGCAATATGTGTTAGCCAAGCTCGCTAGTTAAGTAAAGAGTACTCGGGATTAAAGATATTTGATAAGTCAAATAAAGTACCTAAAATTTTCAGTTTCATTAAAGGGTTAATCTTCATATTTGATCTAATTTGTTTTTTTATCAATACCTTTTTCCCCCACAGAATCATTTTTCCCATCCAGATATCACAGTTGCCATTAGAATCACTTCTTCACCTGACTCTTTTTGGAATTTTAAATCAGAGCAGTGGGAGTTCCCCTGATTCTAATAAGCAGAGAAAGGGGCCAGAAGCTTTGGGCAAAGTTTCTTTACCTCTTTTTGATTTTAAACGGTAAGTGTAACTTAGTTGTGATGGTGAGTTAATGTGGACACATCTGCAGTCTCAGAATTAGCTAGAGAACAGAGTGGGGAACAGTGATGTACATGAGATAATGACCTGCCTTAGTTTTTCCAGTGTGGTAAAGGAGGTCAATTTAGAGACACAGATCAGAGAGAACCAAAGTTATTCTGCCATAGTTTGAACATATCTATATGGGTATAAAGGATTGTTTGCCACTCACTGTTCAGGAGAAAAGCAGCAGCCAGTTCATTCTTTAACTGGCATTTTATATAAAGCTCTATATTATTGACATAATACTTGTGGTCTTTTAGGTGCCCCTAATATTACTAAAACAGCTCCATTTTTCCTCTTCTCATCCCTGTCCCATCCTTAAGTTTCACAGTCTACAACTGGACATTATTCCCTTCTCTTTACTTGACTACCTGCCTGATGTACCCTTATTGCTGTGGGCCCCTGCCCTTTAATCTTCAAAGGTCTTACATGGGTACAGAAACTTATGGATCCTTAGGGATAAAGGAATTCCTTTTGAGCTTTGTGTCTAATAGCCAGTGGGATAGTATAATCTCTCTGGCCTTTCCGCTGACTATTGTAATTATATTTTAAGTAATAATATGTTCCATGAGACCATCAGGAATCTTCCTGAATTTAAAAAAATAAGTCAGTCCGGCCAAGTGACGCGATGGTTAAGAACTGGCTTGGGATGCCAGAGGGCCGCGGTTCGGATCCCACATATGAGGGCCAGTGACACTGCCCTCTACAGCTAAGATGCTGAACAACAGCTCAACCTGGAGCTGGGCTGCCGTGAGTAGCTGGTGATGGCGTAGGCTGCAGCCCCTGTGGCAGTAGGTTGCCATGGGCTACCGTATGTAGCCAGCAGCCAGTGTGAGCGGCCGTGCAGAAGCCGGTGACTGATCTGCCTCGCCCGGGAAGAGCGCAGTGATGGTGCCAACTTGGGCCAGTGAAGCAACATCCTCCACAACTAGACTGAAGAACAAAAAAGGACAGCAACTTGTCTGTTCCCCTTCCCCGAATTCCCCAGCTCTGTTCCCATCCCCCCAATTTCCCAATTTAAAAAAAAAAAGTCAATTGAATTAAGTTTGGGATATGTTTCATATTGTACATGGTAGCATTCTGGAGAGTGAAGATGCACATTAGCATATTAGAGTACCTCTAAAGTTCTGCAGTCAACAAGTCTATTGTATTGTGTTTAATAACAATATTACTGTAATAAACACGTAACATTTACTGTGTGCTATGTATTAGCCTGAGTACTATATACATATCCTTATATCCCTCACAACAACCCTATGAAGGTAGGTGTCTTTCATATCCCTTTTTACAGAGGGAAATGACAAAGTACAGAGAGCTTAAGTGACTTTCCCTGGGGCACTTAGCTAATTAAGTGGTAGAATTGGGATTTGAATCTAGGCATTCTGGCTCTAGGCTCTGTTCTTAACTATTATCCTGCATTGCCATTCTCAAACTTATTTGATACCATGGTGTCCCTTTTTGTTCTAGAATATATCTTTTAAAACATTGTGTCCCTTCGGACAGTTTGAAAAATGATTTAATAACTGATCTATTTAACCTACAATAAAACAATTAAAAATCAAGAATGAAAAATTATACTAATCTAGTTCTACTTCCTTTTTCCTTTTAAATGGCAAACATAGTTTGATTTTCTAGGAATTATTTATTAAAATCCTGATGTTTGATACACTAACTTCACAAATTTTGTTCTTGAATTATTCTTTTCCAATGTGCTGAACTATAGCATTTATTCCTATATTTTTCTTTTAATAATTTCTCCCAAATTTTGTTTGACACCTGACATAACCAAACACTAGAGAAAAGCAGTTGAAGAGATTATTAATGATGTGTATTTAGAACCTTTTGCCCAATAGGATCTGTAATTATTCTACAACAATATTGGCCACGGAAGGAGGTGAACTGTGTTCTCAATTGTCTTTGATAAATTAGTGTCAGGAAATAGTTATGTGAGAAAGTGAAATGTAATTGTATCATTATCATTCATTTTTATAAATAAGTTCAGTTCTGAAAACCTTCCTGCTCTTGAAAGCACCAGGTTTCTTTGCTTCATTAGCGATGTACTATCACTTTTTGCCACTTTTGTTTTCTAGTAAATTTTTTTTTTTTTTTTAAGCTGAGTCATCCTGCCACCTGTTAGCAGTTCAGCGGCAGCTCAGCTCAGGCCGGGAATCGAACCGGCGACCCTGATGCTCAGAGCTCATACTCTTGAGCGAGTTCTTACCCAACTGAGCCACTCGGCCGGCCCGCAATAAAATTTTAGATGAATGACAACATTCTTTCAAAATTCAAGAGAGTAAGGTGCTGGGCAGTTGACTTCCGTTAGACAATTACGTAAATAGTTTGTATCCAACACTGCTGTTAAAACAGTGAGCACAGGGCATTAAGCTTGAAGCTTTGCCAAGTGCAGCGACCTAGGTAATGTTAAGGCTTAATATTTAAAAAATACTCAAAAATTAAAAGGGAGGATGATTTTTCGTTAATACATATAGAGAAACAAAGTGTTAATGATTTAGTTTAGTTAATGTACTAGAGTATAGTGATCAGAAATCTCGGTTTTGACATTCTTTTAAAAATAATTTGTTTTGATTCAACTTCTATATAACCTGGTGAAGTTACTATCATGCAAGCCAAATGACTTAGATGCAATTTAGGCAGCCTTCAATAACAAACGAGTTAACTCATTTTTAAAGACACAGAATCAGGTGTTTAACCTGCCTTTCCTTTACAGCTGTATCTCAGGGTTACCAAATGATTGATGTTAGAAAGTTTTTCATAGAAATTTTTCAGTTAATAGATGCAGAAGGAATGCTAGAATATCACAGTTTTGCAACCCTTACTGAAATAATTTAGGCTAGGGTTTCTCAGTCTCTGCACTGTTGACATTTTGGGCCAGATAATTCTTTGTTGTGACAGACTGTCCTGTGCATTGTAGGATGTTTGGCAGCATTCCTGGCTTCTGCCCACTAGTTGCCAGTAGTACCCTCTAATTGCCAACCAAAAATGTCTCCAGACACCTCCAAATGTCCACTGGAGGCAAAATCACTCTTGGTTGAGAACCATTGATTTAAGTAGTGATGACCAATGCCTGCTTAAAACCATTAAGTGATTGGCTTTTCTGGAACTTTATAGTGGATGGTGTACACTGTAGACTGACAGCACCTTAATAAACTGATTATCTTAACATCACAGAAAGAGAAGTAAACCAAACAATGTCCTCTTCTTTATTTGATAAACAATAGGAAGTAGTATGCAATATAAAGCATTAAGAATTCTTGCCAGATAACTAAACCTGAATCAGATCAAGCTTCTAAAACTACTACTTTATAGAAAATGTAGGCTATACAGGGACATGCTAAATGACCAGTGGAATGCAATCGACAAAATCCAGGATATAGAAAATTCTCAGAACCAAAGACCTGGTTTCTTCACCAAATGGCAGGGGAAAGAAAGATGAGAGTTAAAACAAGAGTCAGCAAACTTTCTGTACAAAAAGATGAGAATTAAAATAGGAGTCAGCAAACTTTTTCTGTAAAGGGGACCAGATTGATGTAGTTTAGGCTTTGTAGGTCATATAGTCTGTTGCAAATACCAAAGCAGCAATAGACAATATATAAGTGAATGAGTGTGGCGTTATTCTAATAAAAGTTTATTTACAAAACCAGGTGACAGGCTGGAGTTTGTGGACCTTTGAATTAAAAGATACTTAAAGACTTATCAACCAAATGCAAGTGTTGGACCTTGCTTGGATCCTTATTTGAGCAAACCAACTGTAAAAGAAAAAGCTATATGCTGACTAGATAGCTGATGATTTTAAGTAATTGCTAAGTATTTTGGGAGTGGTAATGGTATTGTACTAATTTTAAAATGAAACTTTATCATTTAGAGATACGTAACAGTATTTACCGATGAAATAATATGAGAGGAGTTTGCCTTAAAATCTAGTTGGGGGTAAGAGTGGTTCTAAAAAGGACAGGATATAATGTGTCAAAGATTTGAAGGCTGTTCACTTATAAGAGAAGACATTAAGACGGGAATCTAGTTTTGCAAAGGATATTTGCTGTAACAAAAGTTTAATGAAGTTAATAGTTTCCTGCTTTTATGTATCTCATGTTATTTTTCAGAAATTTCTTCTGTTCAAAGATGTATCAATATCTTTATTGATAAATGTTTTTAACTTGAGTAGGCCATAAACTGACAACCCACTGCCTGTTTTTTGTAAATACACTTTTGTTAGAATACAGTGCACATGTTTATGTATGTATTGCTAATGGCTACTTTTGCAGTGTAATAGCTGAGTTGAGTCTCTGCAACAAAGAATGTATGGCTCAGAAAGCCCAAAATATTTACTATCTGGCCCTTTAGAGAAAAAGTTTGCTGACCCCTTGAACCAGGGCACAGATAACTTCTCATCTCAAATTGTTGGTGCCATGTCATAAGTGGGTACTGGTTTGGGGGGCATGTGTTTTGGTTCTTAGGGTAAAAGTCAGGGAGCAGTTCTATAATCCAAGCTCCCACCTTGAGATGTATTCCTTTATAGGCTACCTGTAAAGACTGTCCTTCACCTTCCTGTTCATAGAAGTTGTATTGGGGACAGGAGACTCTGTGTCTTTACCCATCTTGTGTTCTATGCCCAACCCCATTTCTCCTAATAGTTGTTCGTTCATTCTCCTTTCCTTTGTTTCAACCCCCACACTTCAACACATTTACCTAAAGGATCAGTACACTATGGAGAGTGACTCCTGATATGTTCTTAAAGATGCTATTATATTTTTTGTGTGTGTGTGTGTGTGGGGGGGGGTGCTTCATAAGTGTTTGAATACTAACATTTCAAATTCATTACCATGTGTTGTGAGTTTTAAATTAATTTTTAAAATGAAAACCACACAGTATTCTTCCATTTACATTCATGAAGGTTTTTAACATGTGGAACTAAGCTTCTGTATCTTTGGACTTCGTCACATGCAAACCCTGTTCCTGGAACAGTCCCCAAGAAAGGATGTATGATGGAAAGAATCGTGTTACAGGTAATGGTACTTCTTGACATGTGGAGAAGTTTAAATTTCTTTATAAAAAGTATATGTATACCATGATTTAGGTTGTCATTGAAGAAGCCTAATTGATCTTGTTTCAATCTTAGGTTCTATTTTCAATTTAAATGTCAATAAATCATTTCCCATCTCTGAGAAACAGTAAAATATACCCTTGTACCCATTCCAAGTAACATGTGCTATTGAGAATTACCAACAATGGTAATTACTTTAAACAAAATGACAAGAAGCATTAATTGAATATTCAATCTAAAATTCACCCTGATGGCTAAAAAAAAATTAATTTTCTCAAAAAGACAATGAAGGTAATGTGGTAAATATATGGCCTGTTCAGCTGTAATATGATCAACTTCTGTTAAACTTTTAAGGTTGATTTTCCTTCTCCTACATTTGATATCATTTATACCACTCCTCAAGTTGACAGAAGCATTGTACAGCAACACGACTTAGAAACACTGGAGAATGACATAAAAGAGAAACTTCTGGATATTCTTCACAAGGATTCATCACTTGGGTATGCTTCTTTGATTCTGTTTTTTTGCGTGGGTATCTCCTCCAATGTACAGCTCAAGTTAATGGTTTAATACATGCCCTGATTTAGTTCATGATTTAGCAATGCTCTTGGTATGGAAAGCTTTCTGTATTTGTTTTTAATTATATAAAAAGACTGTATGACTACATAAAAATTTAGAAATTTGTTACAGGTCAAACTTTTTACATGATCAAAAGGCAAACAGATTGGGAACTATATTTATAGTAAATAGCAATAGATTAATTTCCTTAATGTATAAAGAATCTTTTCATATCAGTAGAAAAACCAACTACTCAGTAGTCAATTAGACAAAGAATATTAATAGGTAATTCTTTGGAGAAGAAATACAATGCCTTTTAAACATCTGAGAAGATGTCAATCTCTCATTAATCAAGGAAATGTAAATTAATACAAGATACTATTTCACACATCATTGAAAATTAGATTGTTGAAAATGAAAATGTCTCATCATATAAAGTGTTGAGGATACAGAAAAATGGGGATTATACTGTTGGTGGAATTCTAAAAAGCTTTTGGAGAGCAATTTGACAAAACCTACAAAGGTCACAATGTGCACAGTCTGACCTAGCAATTCCACTTGTTAGTTATACATCTTAAAGGAAACCTTTTTATATTTGCTTATGGAGACAATACTCATTGCAGTATGTACTTGGATTATTGTAAAACTGATAGGGAATGTTCATCAATAGGGGTTAAATTTATGGTACATTTATCCATCACAGTACTGTGTAACTCTTAAGAATGAAGTTATAGCTATGTACTAATACGTAAGATATGTTAAATGAAGGAAGCAAGGAGCCAGAATAGTGTTTATAGTGTGTTACCATTAAAGGAAGAAAGACCTACATACACCTACGAATATGTATTTACTTCTATACAAATGGACTCTCTGGAAGAATATATATACTACAAGCTTAGGCAGTTGCCACTGGGAGGGGGATTAGAAGGAGAGAGACTTAACTCTGCACCTTTATTCAATACTTGGATTTTTTTCACTGTTCTCTACATGAATACATTTCAGTGCATGTATTATATACAAAAGTCGATGAATGGGTAGTAAAATAGTGAGATCTTTCTTTCACATAAACATTTGTCATTAAGATTACATTAGAATCTCCAAAACAAGTGCTTTTTTAATTTTGAACATTCCTCAATTGAACTGTGTAATCATCCTTTAAAATTTTGTAATAGCAGGGCCGGCTGAGTGGCTCAGTTGGTTAAGAGCTTGCTCAAGAGTGCGAGCTCTGAGCAACAGCGGTTTGATGCCTGGCCTGAGCTGAGCTGCCGCCAAACTGCCAACAGGTGGCAGGATGGCTCAGCTAAAAAAAAAAATTTGTAATAGCATTTGTGTTTTATATGACATTTGATTTCATTTGTATAAAATGGATGAAATCCTTGCTTTTAGGGTGGATTTTGCTATCAACTGATTTCTAGTGCCTGGCATCTGGTTAGAGCTCAAACATTTTTATTGTACTGAATTATCCTTAATTTTCATGACTAAGACTCTTTTATTAAGGCAGAATGATTTCTATCCCCCAAATTAGTGTAAATTAGTGCTGTTTGCTGCACATTGCATTTTTCTATTCCAAATTAGTATTAATGATTCTACCAAGAAATGGCTATCCCAAAGTGAATCAATTTCTTTTTTGTATTTTTAATCATTGAGACTGTAACTGTCATTATGATATCATTGAGAAATAATTTAATTCTGTTATGTATGCAGACTTTCTAAAGAAGACAAAGCCTTTTTGTGGGAGAAACGTTATTATTGCCTCAAATACCCAAATTGTCTTCCTAAAGTACTAGCAAGTGCCCCAAATTGGAAATGGGTTAATCTTGCCAAAACTTACTCATTGCTTCAGCAATGGCCTCCTTTACAGCCACTGACTGCATTGGAGCTTCTTGATTCAAAGTAAGTCAACTGTAATTGCATTTATTTGCTCTGTTTTATTGTCAATTTTTCCAATAAGGTATTATGTTACAGGAGCACTTCCCTTTGTTTTAATGTGAAAGCAATTCAATACAATGTAACTGTAAAGCATATTTCTACGAACATATCTTTTCATTGATGTTATTTAAAAAGCATGTCATATCATTTAAAACTAACCTAAAGAGAGAGTTAGGTTGTAAGTTTTGAATAATTATATTTTTATGAAGTGGGCCAGAATTCATTTTCATAAGCTTAAGGTTTCTAAATAGAATTTGTATAGCACAATAAGATTTTATTCCTTAAAAAAAAAGAGGGCCAGCCCAGTGGCTCAGTTGGTTAAGAGCTCGCTCAAGAGTGTGAGCCTCTGAGCAACAGCGTCACCGGTTCGATTCCCAGCCCGAGTTGAGCTGCCACTGGGCTGCCAACAGGTGGCAGGATGGCTCAGCTAAAAAAAAAAAAGAAGCAGCAGCAGCAGGTTGTTTTTGAATAAAGAGCTATGTGAGCATTCTTTGTCAGGAATAGATTGAGGTTGTGTTTTCCGGAAATACAGCTTCATTAGAAAGAAATAACCATCAAATCTTGATTTTTGTGGTACTCTTCTAGATTTGCTGATCAGGAAGTGAGGTCTCAAGCTGTGACCTGGATCGAGGCTATTAGTGATGATGAGCTAACAGATCTTCTTCCACAGTTTGTGCAGGTGAGGTTTTTACCCGGTTACCAACCCTCCTTACCCTCTCCCCAGTTTTTATGAGTAGGGAACTTGCTAAGGGATACCCTTTCTGTTTTGATACTTCTGTAGTGTGGGAGAGTTGAGGTGCATTGCATTTGGGTTTAGTGTCTTTTTTTTTTTTCTGTTGTCAGCTGCCCCACTTCAATTCTTTCACTTTTTAGATTATCAGAACAAACCAGACTTGAGCTTTTCTTTTATTTTTCTTTACTGGCCATTTAAACATAGCTAATGAATGTTATTCCCAAGTATTTACTTTTCTGCTTGATATTATTAATTTAGCCTAAGTTAATTCATCTCTTTTATTTTTATCAGTATCATCTTTCATCAACAAGAGTAAGCTTTATATAATTTCTCTTTTGATAATTTTATACTAACAATGTAGTTAGCATGGGTTTGACCAGTAGTAATTCTTATTTTCCTTTATGTGTAGGCTTTGAAATATGAAATTTATTTGAACAGTTCATTAGTGCGCTTCCTTCTGTCCAGGGCATTGGGAAATATACAGATAGCACACAATCTATATTGGTAAGATTTAAATTTTCTTAAGTGCATTATTTCCACTCTTAATATTTATACAGATAACATACCCTGAAAGTCTAAATGGTATACTTAGACTTCTTACTGTGAATACCACGTTTTATTGAGGCATTATTATAAAGAAGCTAAATTTTTTATGTCCTTAGAAATGAAACCAGAAAATAACAAAACCCTCTAGTGCCAAGATATTTAGCATGTTAGAGCTCTATAATAATGAACAAGTTTTTACTTGCTATATAGCTTAAGGTGAATTCCTGGATACCAAAAATTGAACTTGTTAAATTGATTTTTGAGGTATGTTCATCCAGTTTTCAGAAGTGGCTGACATAAATATTTTGCTGTATTAGGCTCCTCAAGGATGCCCTGCATGATGCACAGTTTGGTGCCCGATATGAACAAGTTTTGGGTGCTCTCCTCTCCGTGGGAGGAAAAGGCCTCAGAGAAGAACTCCTGAAGCAGACAAAACTTGTGCAGCTTTTAGGAGGAGTAGCAGAAAAAGTAAGGCAGGCTAGCGGGTCATCCAGACAGGTATGTACCCACAAGAGGGAACATAAATATTTTGATATTAAAGGATCTTCACAGTGTTGACAAGTGATTATTCTTTATCAGTAGACATCCAGTAGAACTCTTAATTGTACCTATGCTATTTTGAGATGAATTCAAATGTTTTAAAATCTGTAGGAAAAGATTTCACAACCTACCGTAACTCAGAAAATCAATGCTTTTTAATTCCCATACTTATATCCCCTTTCTGGTTAAAATTGTTTTCTTGAGTTCCTTTTTAATTATTTTGTTTTTAACTTTTTTGTAACTGTATAAGTAAAACTATGAATTGATGGTAAGGTTTAAAACATCCATATAATGAAGAAGTTTAAGGAATAAAAAATTAAGACTTTTCCAGCTTTTTCTCCCTGTAGGTTGTCCATAGTTTTCTGTAGGTCCATCTGGGTAATTTTTTATGACTTTTCACATAAATACACTTAAGTATATATGTAAATTTTTTGGAGTGTAAAAAAAATTTTTTTAATCAATTTTTTATAGAAACGTATATATGTTGAGGTAAAATTTACATAAAACATATTTACATAAACTTACATAAATCCACTATTTTAATGTATACAATTTATTGACTGTTAGTACATTCACAGTGTTGTGCAACCGCCACCACTGTCTAATTCCAGAACGTTTTCATCACACCAAAAAGAAAGCCTGTACCCACTAATCACTCACTTCTCATCCTCCTCCCCTGCTGCCCACCCTGATAAGCACTAACCTGCGTTCTGTCTTTATGGATTTGCCTATTCTGGATATTTCATGTAAATGGAGTTATATAATATGTGGCCTTTTGTGTTTGGTTCTTTCACTTAGCCTAATGTTTTCAAGGTCCATCCATATTTCTAGCATGTATAAGTGCTCCTTCTCTTTTTATGGCTGAATAACATTCCATTGTGTAGATAATACCACATTTTGTTTACCCATTCATCAGTTGATGGACGTTTGGCTTGTCTACTATTTGGCTATTACGAAAAATGCTGCATGAATATTCCTGAGTTTTTGTTTGAGCACCCGTTTTCGCTTTACCTAGAAGTAGAATTACTAAGTCATACAGGAATTCTGTTAACTTTTTGAGGAACCACCAAACTGTTATTCAAAGCATCTGCATTGTTTTACATACCTACCAGCAATATAGGAGGGTTCCAATTTCTCTACATCCTCACCAACATTTATTATTTCCTGGGATTTTTTTTTTTTTTTATAATCTAGTGAGTGTAAAGTAGTATCTCATCGTGGTTTAGATTTGCATTTCCCTAATTGACTAATGATTTTAACACATTTTCAGGTGGGTTTTTTTTTTTGGCCATTTGTGTATATTCTTTGGAGAAATTTCTTTTGTAAGTCTTTTTTTAATTTGTTTGTCTTTTTGTTGTTGTTAGAGTTCTTTATATATTCTGGATACAAGACCCTTGTCAGATATACTATTTGCAAATGTTTTCTCCCATTCTGTGGATTATCTTTTATTTCCTTGGTAGTGTCTTTTGATACACAAAAGGTTTTAATTTTATGAAGTCTAATTTACTTTTTCTTTTGTTGCTTGTACTTTTGTTATATCTTAAGAATTCATTGTCAAATCTAAGGTTGCAAAGATGTATACCTATGTTTTCTTCTAAAAGCTTATTAGTTTTACTCATATATAAGTTTTTGATCCATTTTGAGTTATTTTTTTATATGGTATGAGATAAGGGTACAACTTCATTCTTTTACATGTGGCTACCCAGTTATCCCAGCGCCATTTGTTAAAGAGACTGTTCTTTTTCATTGAATGATCTCAGCACCCTTGTTGAAAATCAGTTGACCAGAGCTATATGGGTTTATTTCTGGATTCTCAATTCTGGTCCATTGATCTGTATGTGTATCCTTATGCCATACTGTTTTCATTACTGTAGCTTTGTAGTAAGTTTTGAAATCAGGAAGTATGAGTCCTCCAGCTTTGTTCTTTTTCAAGATTCTTTTGGCTACTCAGAAGTCCATTGCAATTCTATATGAATTTTAGGATTAGCTTATCCATTTCTGCTGAAAGCAGTTGGAATTTTGATAAGGATTGTATTGAATATGTAGATTGATTTGGGAAATATTGCAATCTTAATATTAAATCTTCCAGTTCATAAACATGGGCTGTCTTTTCATTTATTTAGATCTTTAATTTCTTTCAGCAGTTACACTTTTGTTTTGTTTTGTTTGTTTTTTGTTTTTGCAAATTGCTCTTTTTACTTCATCTTGGAGAATTTATGTCAGTACTTTTAGTTACACTACATGTGTATTAATGGGTGAATACTATTACAAGGTATTGTAGCATAAATTATGAACTATTACCTCTATGTAGGTTGTTTATATATTTTTCTTTTCCCAAGCAGTCCTGCAATGAATTTTATAAGTTTTTGCCCTTTTGCTAGTATTTCTTTATAGGATATTCCTACAGGTGAAATAGCTGAGTTAGGAGCCATGTACATTTTTAGTAATAAGTTTCTATTAGATTGCTCTACCAGAAAAATAAAAATGTCTGTATATACTTCTCTCCCCATCAACAGATTATGAAAGTATCTGTTTCCTACCCTGTTGCCAGCTCTGGATGTTATTTTTTTTGTTTGTTTAATTTCTATCCCATTGACTGTTAGTGAGTTTTAACTAATAGTTAAATATGAACACATGTACTTTCCCCCCATGTTTGTAGCCTTTGCCCATTGTGATTTTATTTTTATAGTAAAAATGAACTCTCTTTACCAGTAACTCTTTTTGATCATTTGACAGTTGGGCATTTTAAAAGTTGGGGCCACATCATAATTTTGTTGTCTTAAAAATCGGTCTTTATTTTCATTATGTACTTACAATACCAATCTCTTTTCCTAGGTTGTCCTCCAAAGGAGTATGGAACGAGTACAGTCTTTTTTTCTAAGAAACAAATGTCGCCTCCCTCTCAATCCAAGTCTTGTGGCAAAAGAATTAAATATTAAGGTGACACATAAAATACTTATAACTTCATATTACATTTCAATATAATGTGTAGGAAGAAGGCAAATGGGAAAGTATGCTTAAGGCAAAAGAGGATAACACCTGCATAGGTTGGTTATAAGCATTTGTGGATGTCTGTCTGTATAAGACCCATATTTCTCTCAGAATATTTTTACCTAATCACCATTCCTGGAAGAAAAAAAAACAGTCTAAAATTATTTGTTACCTCAAATTAAATTATTTTTTACTGTGGTATAGTAGCTACAGGAGAGGCATATATTGTAATTCCAGAGGTAAAACTACCCACCCGCAGGTAGACATTTTTTTCCTCCTCCCTTGTGAATAACCATATAAACTCTTCCCGGGTTTATAGCAATTTTTAGAGCTATTAGAAGGTAGTTGAGTAATCATAAAAATTGAGTAATTATAATGGATTTCTTCTACCAGGAGTTCAGCAAAAGCAACCAATTAATTTGTTAGTGTCTGATTTTGAAAGGCCAGGCAGGGTCCAACTATCCGTAACAGAGTTTCAGATTTCTTTATTTTTTAAGTTGACATGTGGCTACTCTTCATTGAAATTTAATAGTGGGTGCTTGTATGATTATGTCATTTGGGGGCAGGGTGATTACATTTTCCCCTTTGGTTTTGTTATTTACCTTTAAATTGGGCACACTGTCTTAAATTAGTTTTTTAACCAGTTTTATTTTAAAATAAAATTTCATCTTTGCTAATGAAATTGTTTAATTTAGTGTCACTATTTGATTCCATGGCTAATTATTAATTTTAATAGTGCCATAAATACGAGAAGTGGAGATCTTATCCCAGATTACACTGATTTAGAGGAAAGACAAGACTATACAAAATTTTGTGCTCTGTTGAGGAATTATGACACTTTTTTTTTTTTTTTTTTTTAGCTGAGCCATCCCGCCATCTGTTGGCAGCTCACGGCTGCTCAGCTCGGGCTGACTCGAACC